CATTGACTTGGATGATAGCAGAAATGGCCTCAGGTATAACTCTAACAGGCTCTGACATAACTCGTAGTGTAGCTAAAACCGTGAAAATGGTGCTGGCGTTCAGCGGCGCGCTCTTCAATAAAGCACATCCCACGAAAATGACAGAAGAAACAATTGTTGGAGACATCCAATACAGGAAAGTACCAAAGGCCTTTGTCAGCTGAGCCTTAGCCAACCATTTGAATTCTTCATCACGACAGAATTCTATCTTTTTCTTGAACTCATCTTCCCAAGACTGCAGCTTAATGACTTTCATGCTGTTCAAAATCTCTGACGTAGACCTCAATCGCTTATCCTGCGCAATCATGAACTGGGTCTGGTAGTTCTGTAGCATCTTTGCGAATGGCAGATTAAGGAGACCACACAGGAGAAGAAGAATTAAACCTGGAAAAGCTCCTGCTCCAACCACTCCAAAAAGTACAGCTGTAGAAAGCAAAAGCTGCAGCGTAAGGCTCCATCCCGAGTGGAACCACCATAAGAATTCTCCCATACGATATGCATCCACCGCGATATAATTAACAATCTCCCCAGATGAATGCCTTTTTCTCCCCAAACTTGATAGCTTTAGTTGCTTTTTGTATGCAGCTACCATAAGCGCTGATCTAATCCTCATTCCTGATCTTCTTGATGCAAAATACCAATGTCTCATTGACAAGGATTCAGCTAGCTTCAGCATAACTAGACAAGCTAAGTTGAAGAAACCATTTCGGAGATCCCTGTGGTCACTGTTTGCATAATCTACAAAGACATATAGCATTAATGGAAGAGATACAACTGCAACTGTTCTGCAAAATGCACAGATTGTTATGAATATGTTTTCCTTGAAGTAAACTTTTGCAACGGCCCTAAACACCAAGTTTCTTTCCTTAGTTGAGCTTCCATCTGCAAGAAGCGTATCCCATGCTTGAGAAAATTTACTGTAAGCTAATTCAGCCTCATCCTCTGGGACTACACTTGGGATATCTTCTGGGGATAATGGTTTCTTGAATCCCAGCGAGAGTAAAGGATTCATCCAAGAGAACGACAGAATGCTGAAAAATCCAGCTGTTGCTAACCTTGCACGTTCTTTTCTAGGATTTTCAGTTAATAGAGGATCAGATAGTCCTGTTTCACTGCAATCTTGAGCTGCTGCAGAAGAAGATCTCAAATTCATCCAGGAGCAAAGGAGAAGCAAAAGACTCATAGGAGAGGTAATGACGTCAAAGCTTCGGATACCATTCCCCTGCAAAAGCATCCCACTCTTTGCTGCTAAATCCAACAATGCAAAAGACATCCACCAAACAGATTCAAGAACTTTAATCCACTTGGAGCCATTAACAAGCATGGAAACCGCAAGTGAGACCCAAATGATCCCTTCAACAAAGCAAGCAACCCAGGGGATTTCATTGACGTCATTAGCACTATGAATCAGACTGTTTAACCCAACACCAAGAAAAATGAGGCTAGTAATGACACAGCATATAGCTGCAGCCACAAAGATCCATCCTTTCTTGCGGCGCCTGACTACAAAATGTTTGGAGACACAACCAGCTACCAAGAGCAAGCAGAAGATGCAGAGAAACAAGAGATTTAAGAAATCTATAGCGGTTCTTTGGAAGCAAGAGGAAGCCAAATTCAGTTCAACGTCACACCATGGAAGGCTCCCTGCATTATACAAAAACCCATCACAAGAGTCAAGAGATAAGCAAATCGTCATCATATCTATAGTTCTATACATAGTTGATATTTTATACTAATTAAAATCAGCGATTTTTTTTTGTCTTTTAGAGGAACACAAGAAACCAAGTGGGACGATTCAAATGATCCCAACATGGATGCTATAATGATTGAAGGCACAGATTAAAGTCGTGAGACTCTAAAAGTTTGTATTTTTCCTACGAAGAACCTCACACACAACCCAAGAACACCACCACCCAAAAACAAAAACAAAAATGAAAACTTTAAAGCACTAAGACAAAGAACCAATGATTAAGTAGAAAGGGTAACGTCGTACCAATCGAAAACACCATTGTAGTAGAAGCAAGCAACAGAGCGCAACCCACTAAAGAAGAAAAAGAGAAAAAAAAAGCTTCTGCCTTTATAAAACAAATGTGAGGTTGTATGTGGTTCACTATCAAGTCCACATCTAAATGATTGAATCGAATTAGGTGACGGCTTCTCGGGTTTGTCGCCAATGCAACTTTTGATTACGTAATTGCTTACGCAAACGAATTCATGAACCTGTATGTGTATATATGTTAAGTGTTTTATTTGTTTCTCACTGTGGATCGAAACGATAAGCATGTGGTGAGAAAGAAAAAGGAAAAACTAAGTTTCCTGAATTTGCTGGTTCGTTCGTAGTAGTATCTGACATGTGCTTACTGATATTTTTGTCGTTAAAGAAAAATACATACAAAATCTGCCGCATTTGGTTTGAGGTAGGCTTAAATAGTCATTGTCGCTCCTCGCTGCATAGCACTTCCTCGAGCCTTGTAAATTTCACGCACATCCTTATTCCAAAGATTACGAGATGATTGTGCCACTATTCATATCAGATAAGTTTATCTAAATAGTCAAATACTAGTTGACCAATAAAATCTGTGTTAAGTGAAACAAAATTATTGGTGTAAATCCATAGGATTACCAGTAGATATTTATTAATTATATACGTAGAAGGAAAAAAAAAAAATGCTTGAAACGCTTTTTTTTTTTTTTTTTGGTCAAAAAAGAACTTTCATTCATCTAAAACCTCAAAAGACGGAAGTTCAAACAACTTGAAACAAAACGAATACAATGAAAATAAAGATAGAGGCTCCATAAGTTTTCCAAAATGATGTTCAAACTTGAGAAGTTTGCAATTTTTGAAAAATCTGTTGGGACCATAGCGGATTCGACCTTGAATACGTGCTTCGCGAAATCCTCGACCAAAATATGATCATAGACGGCTCTTGCAACAAATGCATCTGAGCTTTTGAAAGAGTGTTCCACGGAGGAGACACAAGTTGGGTTTCTCGCCAGCATGAGAAGGTTTAGGAGCATCGGAACAAAGTCCTTCAAGCTCTTAGAACCATACAAGACTCTAAGCTCTAAGTCCTTCAAGCTTGAAACGCTTATTTAGAAATCTTTTTCTCTAAGGATATGACATGTTATTAGTAGACAAAAAAAAAAAAAAAAAATATCATATGTTATTCATGAAAAAGTATTCTACATTTTATAGTTCTTTAACACGAAAAGAAAAAAGTAAAAAAACAAACTTTTGTATTTTAGCCTTACTGAAATATACTTTTTTCGACGAAAATCTGAAAAAGCATAGTTTGTGGCCATTTACACGAGAAAATAACGAAAATCAATCCAAATTATTTGCTCGCGGTATTTTTATACTTAAACTACGATATCCGGCAAATAGCAACCTAAACACACCTACTAGTAATCTTTAAAACGATTGTCATTTACTCCCTCTGTTTCTAAAAAATGATTATTTTAGATTTTTCACACATATTAAGAAAATATCTAAAATTTGATGATAACTACATCATTTTTGTGATTCACAATTTTAAAAAATTCTAAACCAATAATATTTAGTTATTACTTTAAAATATGTAAATCGTAATTAATAATGCATTAATAAGTTAAAATAATTATCTTTTTGAAACAAAATTTATTTACTAGAAAAATCATCTTTTAGGAACGGAGAGAGTATAAAGTTATAATAAATTAAATTATACCACTTTGTAATATGAATTTGTATATATAATTTATGATTGACAATTTAACATGCAGCAAAGTATCAAGCTGAAAAATCTATATCTTTTGGTTAAGGTGAATTTGAAATTGATATAACATAAGAATTATAATTAGCCAAAAACTCTTAACGCGTTAATTAATATGGACATAAAATATCATAAACCATGTAAATCTTTACAGATTTGTTCCTTTATAGGGATTTCAAAAATATCTTCAACACTTAGAACATGAGTCTTTTCTGATTTTTATACCCAATCATTGATATTTATACTTTTTTAACAAAGAAGTTAGTTTTACATTATGCATACTAGAAGAGCTCGTAAAACTAAAAGAGCACTAATTCAGCATTGGTTTTTATTGTTTTACTTAGTTTAATATAGCCAGACTTGGAGATTGAAATTTTTAGCTCACGAGATTCAACTTTAAAATAGTTTATAGAAAAGTTTAAGACATGTTGTCAAAGATTTGTAAGGCTATTTCCATAGTATTAAAGTGTATACATGTTTCGTCTTCAGCAAATTATCTGGGAAGAACTCTAAAACTGTATTATTTTGTCGGACTCCATTAACAAAGTCTATCTTTATGTCTCTAAACTATGTTTTTTTTGGCCATAATTTATTATTTAGGTTTATAATCTTTCCTTTTTTTGTCAGTAGGTATATAATCTAAAATTGTAATTAATCGTTTCATTTTTAAATAATTAAATTTTTTTAGCCAAAAAAAAAAGAGAGTTAGTTTTAGCCCCAAATTGGTAGGCCTCACTCTCTTTATAAATTTATATGCATTAGGGATGGGTTTCTCCTATCGTGAAATATGTTTAACAGATTGGGACAATAATGTAGTGGCCAAATGGGCTCCAAGCTCCAAAATAAATTAAAAACCTTCACATTCGTATTTGCAAAACAATTATGAATCGATGATATGATCCAATCTTTAACAACAACAAACAAACATAAAACACCAAAACGTCACGTTCATAACATCTAATATCTAACATATCCTTAAATCTTTTAGCTCTAGATTTTCAAATTAAAAGGTTAATACTTAATCCTGATCTTAGCTAACCACTTAGGCCGAGAACGAATTCGTCTTTTATCAGTTAAGTTAATAAATGGGCTTATCTTATGAACACATCTATTATTATGTACATATTGTCCATATATACAAACTTATATACACCAACGGAGATCATCATCGTTGTATTTGAATGCAATATGCATGATTAGATCAACAACTCATTAAAAGATAAAAATTAATAAAATTCATTAAAAGAAGTAATGCTACAAGTTAGAATTTGTTACAACTTACAACCAAAAACTATACCCTTCATCAGTCCATCTCTTCACTTCTCTTTCTCACGGTGACTTTAGTTTGCTCACTTCGTATAATTCCTACCCCCCAATCAAAACAAATTAAAATCAAAATTAATCTCAACACAAAAACTATAACTTTCTGTATTAGAAAAAGAAGAAACAAAAGAAGTCTTACCAAAATAGAATGGAGTTGGTTTAGAAGTGGAATGAGCAATGAAATTAAACTTGTTATATCATCTTGGACCATTTGATGAGTCTCGTCTTTTCCCGCAAGCACATTGATGAATGTGTTATTGTTTGGAACCAGTTTAAGAGCCACCTTCTTGGACAAAACACACAAACCACAAAATTGTTTGCCAATAAAATTTCTTTTTTTTTCTATACTCGAGTTTTAATAATTATATACAATAACTGTACCTTAAAAGCAGCAGAAGAGATCCATCCATGCCATGGTTTTATAGTCAAATTATAACATTCTTCTATGGCTTGTTCCATGTTTTGCGACATGTCCTTCACCAGCCGTTGCAGTAACGCTAACGTAAAATCCATCGCTCTACATATATAGTTTCCAAAACACTATTGTTAGTTCATATTCTTATTTGGGTTACATACTAAATACTAATAATTAAATGATACGTACCTCGTTAGCCAAAGAACAGCTCTGCTACAGCTTTTAGGTTTCCTAGAGGATCCCTCTTTGGCTTCTATTCTCAGTATCTCAACCAAATTTGAGTACAAAAGAGGATCAGATTCCCACATCTTCTCTAGCCTCTATAAACAAAACAAAACAAAAACACTCGAAGGCTTAACAAGTTGATAAAATAAGAAAAAATGAGGGTAGAGAGGAGGAAAAAAACGAGGTCCATTCATTCGAAGAGAAAACGATCGACCCTGAAAGCTACGTAAAGGTGTAAATGGGTCCTCTCGTGTCCAAAGAGATGAAATAATTCTTGGGCGGCGAGTCGAAACATCAATCTTGTTTTAACTTTTTTTTTTTAATCATGCATACTAATTATACACTGCGTCAGGTAACTAGGGAAAATGTAGTATTCTAATTATTTCTAAAATTTCTTAATAAAAAAAATGTAATTAGTATATAATCTAAAGTGAGTTACGCAAGAGCTTACGAGCATTGAAAGTGATGTGTGTATATAATACTATTGATATTGTAATAATAGAGACAAAAAATAAAAATTACTTGAATATTTTGATCAATGTCTTGTCGGAGAACAGCCATTGTCGGGCCAATCTTATCTGCAAACAATCCAACAAAAGTTTCAGGACAACCATTGGAGGAGCTAGTTATGCTTTAGTTCAAGAAACCAAAACATTAGAGTTATTAGAGGTAGAACTTAATAAATAAAAACGCTTTAATATATTAAGCAAAACATTATATGTCTTCATTCTTTGGTTTTAGAACAAGAATCTTAAATATATTTTTGAAAAGAAAATTAAAAAATAAAAGTTACCAAGAACTTGGACGATTAGTTTGCAGAAAGAGAGGAGAGGTTTTAAAGGTAGATGATTGATGATGTTAGTGGCTTCTGTTTCGGAGGAAACTATAGTGGTCTTGGCTATGGAAAGAAGAGAGAGCTCTTCAATGGCAGATCCAATCTCTGTCATCTTCTTCTTCTTGGTTGTCTCTTCCATTTCACATCTCTTTCGTTTCATCTTTGTTCCAAATTGTTTTTTTTTTTTATTCTCTACTACCTTTGTCGACTATATATGTTGTGTATGTAATAATATGCCTCTTACTGAACCAACATATATCATAGAGTTAGGCTATTTATAATCGGCTATTGGATCTCTCTATTTGTATGTGTTTGAATCCAGGGGGGATATTTGTTAATTATTTATTTAATAAAAATACAACTTAGTAGAAGTTTTTCTAATTAATAAGATGATAATTGTTGTTTATAGATTCTCTAGCTTATCGAGATGATGGTGATTGGTGACCCCTATGTTTGACCTCGCTATCGTTATATTGGTTCATTGTTTTTTTTTATCATTATTATGAGTTTTGTTTATTACTCTTATTTACTCTCTTCGTTTTATGACAGACCATTTTCTTCACAAATGCATATATATTAATTATTATTAGATTATTGTTTACTTTTAAATACAATATCGTTAATTTGTATATAAACACAATTCAACCAATGAAAAAAATAATTTATATAATATAAATTGTTAAAACCAATAAAATTCTAATTATCTTTTTTTATAAATTTGTAAGAAAATTATCTGTTTTTGCAAAAAAAAAGGTAAAAGAATCATCTATCACAAGAAAGAGTTTTTGTTTAGAGTTGTTTGCTTTCCCTATTTGCACAAACTGTCATAAACAAATTTACTCCTTTTATCTTTATTGATTACTCTATTTATTTACTTTAGCTCGTTTACTTTCCTAATTGCACAAATTATCACAAAAATCCACCTTTTAATTGATGGTTCCGAATTTTCATACATATTAAAAAGGTATTTTCTAAAATACGATCGAAGATTTGAATAGAAACCAAATGAGCTTGGATGCATATGTCAATAAGTCATATGCTTGTTGTTGATACTTAGTGATTTGATTTGAGTTTAGCAAAAAGTTTTAAGCCATGAGAAGAGGATTTTCTAATCTTTATTGTTCAATCAAACGTCAAGTTATAACGTTCTAAGAAAACTCCAAGCTTATGTCTAAATTCGTGTTAGAACTAGTTTTTGGATTTGTGATCCTAAAATTACATTTAATAATTTGGTTACTCAAAAACCTAAATCAAGACATTATTCAAAAATGTTTAGTTTATCATTGAGTTAAGTTGAGAAACCTAAAGACACTATGTAATATGTTGATGGCTAGAGCAATATGTTTTTTGGGATTACCATTGATGAAGACACTAAAGAAAAAAAAATACGAATAGACGCAATTCATAATCATGAGACATAGATTGACCTTTTTAATTTAGCATTCATTTTTTTTTTCATTGAACATTATTCGAATCAATAATAAGTCTTTGCGTATATCCGTTATAATTAGGTAGAACTTTTTTTTTTTTTTTCGTAGAAGAACTTGTTGTTTTTATGCACTCGACAAGATTTGTCAAAAACAAGAAAAAGAAAACCCCCAAAGAAAAGAAAACATGAATGTATAAATATTATCAACAGTTTACATATGCATCACCAAATACATCTACATGTACACATACACGTGTCAGGCATGTCGTTTTGTGTGCAAATGTACATGGAGAAAGTGGGGCAGTTAAGGAGCTCAATTTGTGGGTCAGACGTCGTAATTAGAGATAAATTTTATAAATTATCTCAATTTCATTTAGTCTTCTTTTCTTAATCAAGACTTATTAATTATTTTTATTTGGTTAAGAATTAAACAAGGGGGTTAGGCTAGCTATCATCATGTCATATCTTTGAACCTTAAAGAGTGTAGAAAATAGCCTAAGGATGGGATACACTAGCAATCGACAGCTGTGGTCACATCTCAAGACCAAAAAAAAAAGAGCAAGACAAAGATAAAGAGTAGATTAACCATATAGAGAACATGAACGTATAAATATAATCATACAAATGTCGTCTGGTTTATAAATAAGTATGCAACTTACATTAAACGGTCTCTTTGCTAAACCAAGTTATTGAGTACAGAATCTATCGAACATGCTGGTGGGTAAGGGCACCTCCAACTATTAATTAGTGGGACGTACGAATCTATTTGCTTATGTAGTACAGTAGTATTATTATTAGTATTGTTTATATACTAAATACATTTTCTTTAACTTAAACTTAATGGTCTGCTCAAATTCAACTCCCCTCTAATCTCATCCGGATTCATGAATGACCAACTAATAATCATTTTTGTTTTAACATGACTAAGTGTCGTTTACATTTCTTAATCTACATTGTCGACAAATGATTATATTAAACCCTTCTTGTTTTGGTACAAATTAGTTCTAGAATGATTCTTTTTTTTTAAGTCTTCTGTATGGAACGGTCCACTCTAGTTCCTATCCAGATAGTCCAGACCATAGGGTCACAAATCACGATGTTGATTCTTACTAAATTAGAGATAGTACTACTATCAAATTTTTTATATGCCGTATTACTGATGATAATTTATTAATTTGGTTTGATAGTACTTAATTTATCTTTTATAAAACTTACCTATTTATAATCAACATGTTGGTAAGGGTATCTCTTGTCCCCCTCTTAAGAAAGAGTAGTTATTACAAACCTTATGCGATTTTTGTTATACATGTGCCCTTCGTAGTTCGTACTATGTAACCATCTTTTTTTTTCATGGATTTAAACCTAAACACTAATCGATTCAATCATCATATAATATATTGTTTACTTGTTAAGCCATCATATTATTTACAGTATCTTTTAGTTGCTCTATTTTGTTTTTATCTTCTAGTAGAAGGGAAGCAGACAATTATAGATAGAATTAAGATAAGTACAAATTAGTTCGGATGGACAAAAATAATTAGTTGAACTTTTCGAATATTGCCAGATATATAACACAAGCTTCCCATGCCATCTCTATTTTTATATCGTGTGAATATTCAAGATTCTTTACGCTCAATTGTTTTTTTAATCATTATTAACGTTGGACCGTTTACTTAATTACATTAAACAATTATCTTGTAGTAGTAATAACTAAGCAATTAGGCTGTAACGCGCGTGACACGTATCCGTCTCTTATTGAGTCATTATATGAAAACTAATAAGACGATGTCTATCGAAGACAAACTTAAATAACCAATGCCTTGTTACACATCTCCCGGTTATAATCCTTTCAGACTATATAGTATGATGCATGTTGTCTTATACGTTTGTAAGCAGCCATAATACGATCAAGATATAACTTTTAATATATAATCTTCTCCTTTTCAAATTATAAGATGTTTTCAAATCCACTTATAAAAGAATTAACAAAAAAGTTAATTTATTTTTTAAAAATGAAAAAAATTAGGTGTGACATGAGCCAATATATATACTCCGAAGATTTTACCAGGCCACTGCCGCTAATGCGCGATCAATATGAAAATGCTGTTATGTAAGAAATTTTTGCTTATCATCAGCAAGGCCAAGCCGGCAAAATAAAATTATATATGGGACGAAACGATTTAGTAATAACTGAAATTAAATTTTAAAATACTGATAAACTAAATTGTTCTAGGGTTCGGCATCTATGTGGTTGGTAGGTCGTAAGGCATGGAAAGGATGAACTAAGAGGAACTATCTTACTTTCTTTGTCTTATTCTTTGTCAACGCTTAGAACACATACATCACATTATACATATATATGCATGTAGTTGTCTTTGATGTTGTAAGAAACCATACCAAGTTCAGGGAACATTAGAGCCTATAAGTGGTGGTAACGTGTTTCATGTCGAATCGAACCCGAAACACTACTACCACGCATTGGGTTTAAAAGATCAGAGCTTGTATATGCATATTATTCTGTTACTTTATCATATATTTAAGAAATTAAATACAATTATTTGTTTTCGAAACGATATATACAAACCAAGCCCTTAGCACTTGATCTTGAATCAAAAGCTTACATCACCTGTGATAAAATATATTATCATGTGTTAATTAACTAAATTTATCTCAAACTATGTTACACATTATTTTTAAAATTGTTTAAGTGATGTTTTCAAATTTCTATGCAAAAAATAAATGTAACTAATAATTTTAGACCAATCATATTATACATCATATTTTTATGAAAAACAGAAAAATGATATGTTTTCTTAATTGTATGTATGTAAGAACCTTAAACATCAATTAAAAATAAACGAAAGGAATATATATTAATTAAGTTCTTGCCCAAAAAAATAGATAATTAAGTTATTGCGAACATTAGTTGGTTCATCATTATTCTATATATTCTCTTCATCTAGCCATGTATATAGTTTTTTCCAGTGTGATCTTTAATGGATTATCGTATTTATACCTCCTCCAAGAAGGAGGTCGTCGGACAATTTATAGAATTAGAATAAGTAAGAAACTTCGGATAGATCATGGAATTATTTTAACCTTTTGGCCTGTTGCCAGATAGGTACCAAAACTATTATTTACAGTTTCTCTAGTACTGTGTGATCTTTATACATTAGTTTAATTTACACGTCCTGCTCCTAGAAGAAGGGGGGAGTAAGACAATTATAGAATCAAGATAAGTTAGAAGAAACTTAGTTTGGATAGATCAAAAAGATTATTTAACTTTTCGAATATAGCCAGATATGTACCACAAGCTTCCCATGTCATTTCTAATATTATATACTAGTGTGAATAGTGAAGATTCTTTGTGCTTAGTTTTATGTATCAAACTCTGGACCGTACGTTCACTAATCTTTACTATATATTAATACTGTAAAAGTGAAGGCATCGAGGTAGTCATCTGAGACGTATCCATCTCCTATTGAGTTATTACAATTATTAAAAGAATAAATAGTATCCCATTCATTAATTATGCGTTATAAGTCTGTATGTAACACAATACGACTTTAATTACGAGCATACTCTATCCAAATGATCTAACGAGGTTTTTGTTGTTTTGTGTGTGTGTGTTAAGTTGTTGTTTTTTGTATTAGTTCAAGCATCCACAATACATATATAACTCTTCTCATACATTCTGATATAACATATAAGTTCTAAAAGTTTTGAGTGCCACATAAGTATCTACATGGTCATATAATTTAGAAGTGGATGATAATATTCGTGCTAAAATATTAATTCAGATAGTTATGGAAGAAAAGAGGTAAATATTAATTAAGGGTTGT